GTATCCTCATTATATATGGTCATTTGTACTCATTAGACCTATGATGCTCCCCCTCTCCTGTTAACTCATTTCAACTTTAATCATGCGGTAAGAAGGCTTTTATTCAGTAGCTTGCATTATAACCCAAAAACCAACTATTAAAGAGGGACGGCAAAAAAAAAACAAAAAATAACAATAATAATAACTGTTGAAAAAGATTCAGTCTGTCATTGCGAACACTTTTCATTCAATAGGATAGGCCAATTGAGCTTTACAACAATGACATGGTCTACATTCAACGAAAGAAATGCAAGAGAACCAAGAAAGCTAAAAAAGTAAACCATCCTTTAAGAAATGACAGATTTAATGAAAATGAACATAATCCTGCCTCTTTCACTGCAAGCTCGTACAAAGGCTTTCCTTGTGGTTGTGTATAATCGAGAATTTATTGCCTTTTCCAGCGGAGATAATTCCTTGATCAGAGGAGTCTGCTGCTATTCTCAGGCCATATGTTTATTGATCCATCGCCATTTCTTGATCAAGAAGCCATAGTTGAACATTATAGAAGTCTGACTTTCTAGCGTATATTAAGAGTCCAACCCTATATATCCTCATAAATAATCAACCTGTCCACCATATGAGACTCTATATATATTGGGCAACAATATTAAAGAAAATTCTAGGGTTTCCGTATTACAGGCAATTAGTAACTCACAATAATCTTCTCACTCCTTTGCCAAGACAAACTTATAGGCTCTAACCCCTCCAATAGAGAACACCCCCAGAAGATACCATTTCATCGTTAAAAGAAAAATAAAATCCTCTAAATTCCACGCAGATGTGGAAGATGAATAGGGTTTTGCACAATTTACCCCTATTATTTTATGGCCTATAGCAAACTAATATATTATAATTTTTAAAGATAGCGTTGAACCCAAATCCCACAACAACACCTCTAAAATTAAGATTTTCATCCCCGCACCTGTATAGTGTGGGTGAATGTTGGATTCCACAGCGACATTAAGAGACCGTGTCTCATGACAAGAAAACGGGTAAAAACCATTATCAATGGTCCATCTGGTTTTATCAAACACTACTTCCGGTTCTTAATATAAGACTTCTTTGATTTTTATTTTGGTTTTAAATATAAGACCCCAATCCACTTTATCTTTCATTTATATTTTTTATCCAAGATAGTCCTTCCAACAATGGTAGTTATAGCCAACATACTTAATTAGTAAGGATATTTTAGGAAAGACAACACATATTTATTACAAATAACTATTTTTGCTTCTTTTTTTAATTTTCTTAAATTAGTCAACTAGCTCTCATAATTAGGACTGGAGGTAATATCAAGTTTTTTTTCAAGACTGCCCCAACATAAATGTAGTAAATAGATTAACACGAAATTCAATGAGTTTTTAACGTTAAACCGTAATTATTAATAAAGATTAAATTGAAAAGTAGTAATTAATGAGTTAATTAATAACTTACATATTTAGGACAAAAGTTGCTTCTAAATGATACTCTATAATAAGAACTAAAAAGAGTATTACGTACTACCTTACAGTTTAATTATAAATTTATAATATCTTTTATTCAAACTTCAAACTTAAAACCATTGAGATAAAATCGAGATGACATAATTCCTCCTAGTCTTCCTTGAGTTAGCCCAAAACCTATTCAAAGTTGGACCTCATTAGTTTAAAAGAAAAATTAAACTCCCAATTCTCAAACTAAAGTTGTGGGAGTGATGAATTTGAATAGATTGAGATATTCATATACAAAAGAAAGAAAAGAAAAAGAAAAAATCAATGGGAAATTGATTCCAAAAAATGTGTGAGAAGAAAGGCAGCTGGGCAAAGTCCAAACGGCCAGATGTTGAATAAACAAATAAAACTCACGCTTGCTCCGCGTAGGGAAGACCACAGCATAACATCTCTTTCATTTTCGAAAGTTAAATAATATCTAATGCACCCCAAATCCCATGTGCTTCCATCAGTTTCTTCGCGCATAAAAGCCTTAAACCGCCCGGACCGCTCGAGAACGCCACGTAGATGACTTGCTGAAGATTGAAGAAAATTATCTGAATTTATATATCAGAATTATTCACTAAAATAGGTAGTGGCCATTTTGTCTCCATACCATGAAGCCTTTTGTCTTTGTTTTGTCTTTAAGAAAAAGGCCAGAGACAAACTCTGAATTACTACTACCACGACAGAGTTTGGATACCCCTTATAATTAATTAAAAATAATTTTACTTAAATCAAGACAAAATTTATTTTACATACTTTTTCATATATCTTAAAATCATTTCTAAAAAGCTAATCCAAATTCTAAACACTCTCTATATTACAGTTTAATTATAATATCTTTTATTATTCAACATTAAAACTTAAAACCAAAGTCAAGGTGACAAAAAGGAGAAGGCATAATTCCCGCATATTCGACAATGACCTGGCCTGAAACCTACTGAAAGTTTGACCTAGTTTATTTTAGAATGAATAATTTTAAAATGTCTTGAACAATTATTAAGTCCTCCAAAGATCGATGGCATGATGATGTAGATACACGGTTGCAAATAGTTGGATATGTTTTCTTTGTATTTTACAAATGTAAAAAAATGAGCTGACTTATGATCAATACCTTGGTTATAAATTCTAAATTATACTCCCCTTGTTTTCTAATGGTATTTTCCTCTAAAACAATGTTTTCGTTTATCTGTCTCTTGAAATTTGAATAGTCCAAGTTAATATTAATTATTTTAATTATAATATTCTCAATAAATTTGAAATTTTGAACTATATAATTGAGTTTCCGCTTTGCCATATTTTTCAATATGAGTTTTTTTATGTGTTTGTCCTTGATTTTTGGGGGAGGGGGGAACAAGTGCAGGGCCGTAAGCTCGACATAATTTGCTGTATTATACTACTTTCGGTCCTTAATATAAGACCCCATTTGACTTTTGTGTTGGACCTAAATATAAGATCCCAATCCATTTTGTCTCTCATATTTACTCAATTTTTTCCAAAATAGTCCTTCTAATAATTATAGTTTTAGCCAACATACTTGATTAGTAAGGATATTTTAGGAAAGACAATACCTATTTATTATAAATAACTAACTTAACTTCTTTTCTTAATTTTCTTAAATTAGTCAACTGGCTCTTATAATTAGGACCAGAGGTAGTATTACCGTACGTGTATATCCTCCTCTCTCAAGACAACACCAAAAGTCGAAGTTTATGGTTTTTTTTTTTTGTGTTTATCTGATATCATAAAAATTTTTTTAAGTAGTTCCCATGAACTTTTTTAGATGAATAAAAAATGTCATGTTTATTAAGTATAATATAGCTGAAGGTTGTGACAAATGTCTAGACACCAAGCAGGCTGCACCACATAAAGTAATAAACAATAAATATAGGTAATAGTAGCTATGACATTAAGTAATGAACATTAAATATAGGTAATGGTAGCTATGATATTTTCACTCCATTTAAGAATGTTGCATTTAAGTAAATGTTATGGTATCATATACACATAAAAGAATATTTCATGGATGAAGGCACATCTTTGTCCCATATTAAGTTATCAATATTAATATAACATGTTAAATTTATAACAAATCTTATCATTCACTAACTACAGTCAGCTTATTTACATGCAATGCGTGTAATCACTTGAGATTAGTTCAAATTATGATAGTAGTGTGGGTTGTATATGTGGACAGGTACTTCAAATTAAGCTCTGATACAAAAAAGAATGCCTAATTTAGAATAGTAATATTTGGAAAAGTTTACAAAAATATTTAATACTAAAAATATGGTCAAAGACAAGGTTTTGAAATTTGTAAATTCAAACATAAAAAATTGCTTCGGGAAAAATCATAAAAAAATTGCAAATAAATTCATACAAAAGGATAAGGAACTTATAAATTTGTGAGATGAGATATTTTTATTTTAAAATACTTTAGGTACCAATAATTTTGCATGATGTGCGTCGCTGACCATAATTTCTTGAAGGTCGAACCATTTGTATTTCTACAATATAAAATTAAAAATTCGCAGTATTTATTTAGATTTCTAATTTAAAATTTTCAAATTAATAAAATTTGAACTTTAAATCTTACTTGTTAATTTAGAAAAAAAATATAAAGTTCTAACCATTAAAGTCTAGATATAAAGTTTTTATTTCAAATTCATTGACATGAAAAATTAAAAGAATATAATTTTCTATACTTGGAATTTAATTTGAAAATACCGAATAATTTGAAGGAAAAAAAAAAGGAAAAGAGTCGATCTTATCTAATGAAAGGCACGCCATTCAAAATAGCTACTGTTGACTGTATATATCCCGAATATAATTTATCTCTATTCTTTTCTTCTGGTTAATTAATAAAATTTTCAACTAATAATGTCTATTAAAAATAATTTCAATATTTTATAAAAATAGTTTTAATTAATTTTATTAATTTATCTAACTCAATTTCTCGTGGTTGTTTGTATCTGCGTTTGTTAAGTGCTTATAAGCAATTTTACATAAGTCCAAATAAAACACTACTTACATATTTATTTAATATTTCATAATTTATAATTAAAAAAATGAAAAGCTGTTATTCATGCCCAAAATCTATAATGAAAATGAATAAACTATACTATATCTATATAAGGCAGATTTATAATAAGCTTCAAATTTGAGAATGGGTGTAGTCATTTTATAAGTTTCAATTTAATATTTATCTTAATATTCAATGCATTTTTTTCAATTTTTCCCGTAATGTCTTATTCCATCTCATTTGTCATAATCTCTCTTATCATATTTTTCTATACATTCTCTTTCATTCTTTTTCTTAATTATTATAAAGGTATATTTATAAACAAAAATATATGTTTAGCCTATTTATTATTTTTAACTAATTTTAATTAATTGTTTGTGAATTAGTTATGTAAAACTTAAAACAAAGATGGAGGGATGATGTTCTTTTCAAACCGGCGCCGTGCTCCTTAACATGTCTCAAAATCTGCTGTGTTTTCTCTCTCATTCCCACAGCTTCAACAGAAAGCCCGCTGTCTGATTCCGTTACCTTCTTCTTCATCATATGTGGAGAGAGAAAGCTAGAACCGACCATCTCAGACCATAAGAACCAAAAGACCACTTCACAAAGATCCATACATATATATATGTTGTTGTTATGTCGGTAATATTAAGTGAGCCAATTCAGTGCTGTCAGTATTCTGACGAAGCCATGGATCACGACCACGACGATAAGAACGCCCGGGTCGGCGGCGGCGAAGGCCTGTGGGAGATAGAGGAAGAGAGGTCGTCGGAGGTGCAGGAGAGCCACGGTGGGTCATGGGCGGCGGCAGCGGTGGGGGTCGAAGAAGAAGACACTGTGTACGTGGGAGTGGGGAAGAGCGAGACGAGCATGGAGGCTCTTTCGTGGACCCTCAAGCACCTGATAACTTCTCCTTCCACCATGGTCTATCTCATCCACGTCTTCCCTGAGATCAAACACATTCCTAATCCATGTGAGCCACAATTTTGAATTTTCTTACTTTAATTCATTTTCAGATTTATTCATTTAGAGCAAAATTGTCGGGACTCTCGTGTCCTCAGATTTACTTCAAATAATAATCTGTTTAATTTGTTTTAATTTGGGCTTAAATAACTATTAACAAACACATCATACGGCCCTAAATTTTTTTTGTTTTTACTATTAGACCGAAAAAAATTATAGAAAGGTCTCAAGCAATGAAATTAATTATTAATAAGTTCGTTAAAATTGTGTTATTATCAATAGGTTACTTGAAAAAGTTGTGCTTGCAAATATATTAGTAAGTTATAAATTTCTCAATTTGACCTACAAATATTGGAGAAGGACCTACAAATCATCCATATTAGTCAAATTGATTAATTACAACTTATTCTTCTATCTGTTCTTTGCACAAGTATTTTTCAGGCGACTTATTAACAATAACTCAATTTTAAGAGATTTATCAGGAATTAATTTTTTTATTAGGACTTTTATGTAATTCTAGTTAAATTACTGTGATTTTCCCTCATAGGGATTCCCGCACCGCCGATCAAGATTTGGCAAGGAAACATGTATTTTTGTTCTCTGTATGTGATTGGCAGCTGCCTACGAGGCTGGCTGGCTTTTTTTTGTTTTGTTTAAAGCATAGGTATCTTCTTATTAGAAGTAATCCTATTCGAGACACTGTCAGGTACTAAATATAAGTATCTCTCCCAGTAGGAATTCGAATATTGATTCGTCATATTGTAAGGAACTAGTCCCTTTTGTTTAAACCCAACCCCATTGGTTACAAGGCTGTCTTGTTTGTTTGTGGTAGTTGAGTGCACATTTTGTCAAAGCGAGGGCCTACCCCCATAGAAACTTGATCTCTTCATCACCGTCGGGTGTTAGACTTTTTTTAAGTCCGTTGAAATTTAATCTCCTTCACTCCTATTGAGTCCATAGAAATTTATTAATGATAAGGATTATAATTGGCTTAGCTTGGGAGGTGAAAGTTTCAATCATATCAAGATTTTATTAATTTTATTTATGAGTATTTTTATAAGCCTTTTCTTTTAAAAATAAATCGTTACCTCTCTTTTTAAATTGCTAAATCGATTTTCCTTTATAGAAAGATAGATGGAAAAATTTTGGAGGTGGAGCAGAAATTATATTTATGCGTTTAGTAGAAACTGCTGCTGAAAATTTTGATTCTGCTAAAGCTTGCGCCGCACTTAGTACAATAATTACAAAGAAAAATGTGAAGTTTAAGGTCAAAGGCATTAATCAGCATGTTTGACATTAGAATTTTCTTATGAATCTGGCTATGTTAGGGGATGTTTAATTACTGTGTAAAGAATGAAAAACACATTTTAAATTTCTTTTTTGCTTATTATTGTGATTTTGATATATAGTATTTAATCAGTTTATGGTGGCAACTTTGTAGAAGTTATTTTTGTATTTCAGTAACAAATTAAAAGACATGTTCAATCTCTAAGAAGTCACTTTTTAAAATTTTTTATCTCTTTAATTTATACAAGGATGTATTTTTGCTTTTATAATAAATGCATAGCAAGAATTAGATGCAATTTCATAAACTTAATTACTATAATTAAATTAGTGTTTTTCACTAATGTTACTGCCTCATTGATGAGATTAATGATGTGATCCACAGTGGGAATAGGTATGGTTCCAAAAAACCAAGTGAGTGCAGAGCAGATTGAGAGCTATGAGGCTCAAGAACGTGCCAAGAGACGACAGCTTCTTTCCAAGTTCCTCCAATTATGCTCTTCTTCCCAGGTTCTTGCTTGTTTTTTTTGTCAAGTAGTTAACTAATTTCAAAGAGAGATTTTAATTAATTTGTTGATCTAATTAATTAATTAATTAACAGGTCAAGGCAGAGACCATTTTAATTGAGAGTGACACGGTGGCCAAGGCAATCCTGGAACTCGTCCCCATTCTTCACGTAGGAAAGCTCGTTATTGGAACCAACAAATCCAATCTAAGGTATGCATATACTGCCCTAAATATATGATCTAATTTATAATGCAAATCGTAGTATAAATTAAATCTTATATTTAGAACCAGAGTAAATTTATACTTTAGATTATGGTTCATAGGTGTCTAGAAGTATACATGTTTTAAATCTCACACTCGAAAACTTAACAAGAGTGATTTAATTTATACAAGTTTAAGAGGCTCTCCTACCCTGGATGAGCTTTCCTTTTAAACTTTTGCTCCTAAAAATACCTTAAATCGTGCTACTTTTTACGTGCAAGGGCATAGTTGAGCTAGTAAGGGGATTGTGCTAGTTTAACCAAAAGTCTTTGTTTTGAGCCACAGCGGCTTTAAATGCTCATTGGGAGATCTTTGGATTTCAAATGACGTGCTTCTTAAAAAATTTATACCTGTTTTCATGGCTTAAGTTGAAAGGATTTTGGTGTTGTTTATATTCTTGGATGAGCAGAAAATCAAAATCGAAGAGAGGGAATAATGGGATAGCAGATCAGATTCTGCAGAATGCACCAGAAAGTTGCAGGGTCAGAATTATAAGTGAAGGCAAAGAAGTCAACCAACAAATGTTGACCATGATGTCTCCTTCTCCTCTTGCTCCTTCCCCTCGTGCAGCCATGGCTGACAGCAATAATAATAATGATAATCACATTCGGACGTCCATGCCAATGAAAGAAGAGGATCATCACAATGGTCCAGTTTCTTGTATTTGTTTTAAACCCATGTTTAAATGACTATATTAATTATTCATGTAATTAATTTAGTCTAGTTTAAGCTTTTTAACTATTGAACTGTGTGAAATTTATCAGGCGTCAAAACACAAGGATTTATATCAGTATTGATCAACGTTCCTGTCGGATACTTGTAATAGACATGATGAATCACTTTGATTAAATTTATAAGTAAAAGGTTCAAATTTTGCTGTGTTCGTTCTGTCTCTGATTTTATGTGTTTGTGTTTTGGTTTCAATATTTATGCTTTCAAGCTTCAAAGCATGTTTCTCTTCTATATGTATTGCCTTAGGTGATTGATATAAGAACTAGTTAAGAGTTAAATTTAATTCTAAATATAACACCTGAATCTACTTAGTCTCTCAAATTTATAATTTTTATCCAAAATATCCATATTTGATTGTGAAGAGTTCCCATCAAAAATACTTTCAATACACATAATTAAAGAGAATAGTTTAAAGAAGTAACACACCTTTATTATAAATAATTAACTTAACTAATTTTCTTACTATTTTTAAATTAGTTATATATGTATATTTTATATTAATGATAAGAAGTAGTAATATATAGCTCTAAGATTTCATGGTTCATTTTTTCTCGTGTACTTTGTTATTATTTTTTTAAATAAATTTTTGGATCACCTGATATCTAGCACATTTTAAAATTTTATTATCAAGTACCCAAGTAACCGATTAATCTGCATAGAGCATTATGTAACAATGGTAGGTGGCAGACTCTTCTCGCACGTGTACTTGTATTTTTTTGCCAATGTGTACTGTGTTGTAGCATTACAAAGGGAAGACATTAGATACCTTAATTCATAAGCCGAAAAAGAAATGAACCAAAATAATCAAAAATGTTTTCCAAATAAATTAAAAGTCAGCTTCATATATATCTTATCTCTATTTTCTCCCCAAAAAGAAAAATATGATACTAATGATCAAATAATAAAAGAAAAATTGCAATAAGGTCTCATCCAAAAGAATAAAATACAAAAATATTTCTTGAAATCATCAAATTAATCTGAAGTCTCAGGGGACCTCATGTGATAAATTTTATTTGTTTAGTTATCAAATTGTTCTTATGTTTTTTTAAAAGCATGCATTGACAACTAAAAGTGTAATTGTTAACAACTTAAAGCATAATGATTAACAATAATCACGGCAACTATTAACAACTCATACATTATATTTTTGTGAAGCGTTAAGAAAAAGTGTTGTTAATACTTGCCACGATAACTATCAATTATTATATCTTAATTTGTTAATGACTACTCTTTCAGTTGTCACTGTATACTTTAAAAAAAAAATTGGTAATTAAACAAATAAAATCTTTTGTAATGAGGTATCTTGGAACTTCAGAATAATTTGATAAGTTCAAGAGATTTTTTTTGTATTTAATTCTCTTAAATGAGACCTTATTGCAATTTTTCCAATAATAAATTCGGCTTTAGTAGAAATAAAGGAAAACCAACCACATAAGGCTTAAATAATTAAAAATGTCAAGGTTAATAAAGCCTTTTCTTGGGGCCAGAAGTTGAGTTCTAAGATATTAAGCCGATAATAAAGGTATACAAATAACGAAATTTCATCAAAGAATTGGCTCCATATGCCAAAAAAAATTTTTTAAAAAAATTAAGAAATGCAGATGATTTCCTTAGAATTTGCTTACGATCCCCTTTCGTGGCCCAGATACCAATATTTTAATATATAATATACGTGATTTACCACTTAATTAACCTTCTGTCTTGATTTATATATATTATTAGAAGAATGATTAAGACTGATTACACTTTAAAGGCTATTTGAGAAAAAACAAAACTGTGATCTTAAAAGTAATTCTATAAAGTTTGAAGTGAGCATGTGGAAAAAAAAATTATCTCGATTTATGTAAAAATATTTTTAGGACATCCAAACACCTCTGATCCTCAAAGTAATTCAGTTTAAGCACTGCCCTCTAACATTATTTTGATAGAACCACCTAATGATTGAAATTCCGCCCCCCCAAAAAAACACTTATAAGTTAATATTTATTTAATTCAAGTTTAAATTATGGTAGAAATCAATAAAAATACACCGCTTATAATATAATTTAAATATCTCAAATCATGATATTATTCATATGCCAAACATATCAAATCAACCCCCTATGCAATTTATGTGCACCAAAAAGTCAGGCCAAAAAACCAAAAAAAAAAAAAAGAGAGAGTCAGAAATGTGTGTTTGCGTGTGTGTAATTATATTAGATACAAGCACCATTTATAATTTTTTCTAAGCACATTAAAAAATGCTTCTTATTTCTTTATTAATATATTTATATTTTATTTTTGAAAATTAGCAACCATTTTCAATAATTAATTGGACATTTCTGTTCTCTCAATGTTGAGGAATGCTAAAACGTAAACAAAACGGGAAAAATTGTGTATATAAAATGACGAGAGCTTGTGTGAAGTGCACAGACAAGAAAAACGCAAGCATCACAAAATTAAATTAGTTTATATTTAAGCGGTGATGTAATCAATTAAGCGTGACTTGACTTAGATTATTAATGATGATTAATTATCACAAGCCAAAAAGGCATATTCTGTTTTATATGCTTTTCAACAATTCGAAGCATTAATTTAATTCGCCCTTAGTATAGGCGTGTTTCAGCAAATCAAACGTCTCATTTATTTTCTCTTTTTATATGAAAATACTTTAAAAAACGAATCACACTTCAAAAAGGCACTCAACAAAAAAATATTTACAACTTGCTCTATATAAAAATATGATTCTTTTTTTTGGCCTGAAAAATTTGATTCTTTAATTATATAGGTATGTGTGTAAAAGCGAGATTCAAAGAACTGTATCTTTTTAAGTTCACTAAATACTAAAATTTATTAAATAAAGATGACTTAATAGCTTGTTTTTTATGCAAAAAAATATAATTTAAAATTTAAAATTTATAAAATTTACTCTTAATTTCTAGAACATACGATAATGGCTACAACCAATTAAAATAAAATGTTCTAATGAATAAATCATGAAAATTTATTGGTGGAGATGTATATTTTAATAAATTATATAAGTATATTTTTACGAAGTAATTAGTGGACAGGGCAAGGTGAAAACAACACAAATAAATGGTTACAATATTTTAGGATTTTCAATTTAATCATTTATTAATTAGTGAAATATTTGAAGATTTTCATTTATTTGTATGTTTGATTTAGACCATTGTGTAAGGGAAAAACATAAACAGAATGATTTGAGTTTTTGAAGATTTACATTTGTTATAAAGAAAGTATTAAATAAAATGAAAGCGTATCATTCACATATAAAATAAAAAATAAACAATATAGGAAATGGAAATTCCAACTATTCAAATCGTCGAGTATAACTACAAAAGTAAGTTAGATATATTGAATAATCATTTTTATCGAGTATAACCATAGTTAATATAAGTTATAAAATTAAAAACAATATGAATAAATACAAAGGAAATTTACAGTAAAATATATTTTAATTTATTGTAATACGTTGATTGGTTTGCAAATTTATCTATAAATATCAAAAACAGGGAAAAATTCGGATCAAAATACATATGGTACCAACAACAAAATCGAATTATATTACTACACCTAAAAAAAATCGAATTATTACTTACATCTTGCTTCTTTTTTTTTTTTGGACCAGATATTACTTACAGCTTGCTTCTGCGTTATTCTTTCCATGATAAATATGAAGTTATGAACATATATGTGAGCTATCTTGCAATAATAGTCAAACGAATCACGCGTATGTATTTGGACACACTCGTATAACACTATATCATCAAGATAATTAATTAGTAAATAAATATAATTTATTCTTTTTAAAAATAGAAACAATAAATCATGTATTTTCAATTAAATTCTTTCTTTCTTTGTATTTTAGCCGAACAAATATATATATCTCTCACTCATTGAATTGATAATAATCTATTACACAGCATATTATTTTAAACTAACACCAAAAGCTAAGTACCATAATATATTAAAAATGGTACTCATCATTTCGAATTTCTTTTGAAAGGGTTGAAGTGTCCGATAATGTCTCAAATATAATTAGAAGAATATTTGTACTTAATCAAAAAAAAAATACAGTTTACGTGATGTCAATATGAAAACAAAATTAAATAAAGAAAAAGCCAGATGTTATTGGACACCAAAGAAAACCCAGTCAAAATTATGAATTTGAAGTTCCTTTCTTCTAACTGTATCCCGTGAAAAACCCTTCAACATTTCTCACCGTCTGACTCGGTTCATTTAATTTCAGAATCTCCCAAGCATGATCCATAAACAATAAACCCATATCAATCAAAAGCAAGCAAACCCAGCTTCAACCGGAAGCAAAAGCCTCAATCTTTAAAAGTCTCTGGGAATGATCGAACATGTCGTCAAAGGAAACGTTATCCGATGATGAAACAGAAATCTCATCAAACTGCACCAGTTTTAGCAGTTTCAGAGGGTTCAAGAGAAACCAGCAAGTGTTCGATGATGATGATGTTAGCCTAGAAACCAACAACGAGAAGGCTACAAGGGAGGTAGAAGAAGAACAAGAAGAAGAAGGTTATTTGGAATTGGGCTTGGACTCGGATTCCGATTCGGATTCTTTGTTTGGTATAGGGAATAACCCGAAGGAGGAGGGTTTGGATACGATAAGAGAAGAAGATTGTGAGAGTAGTGTGTTCTCTCTGGATTTTCGGAGCTGGCAGAAGGATGTTGTGCATGTGTGTGTGGGCAAGCATGGTGATAAGTCGAGCTTGGAAGCACTTTCATGGACGTTAAAGCACTGGATCACACCTTTCACAACACTTTGTCTTCTCCATGTCTTCCCCCTGGTTAGACTCATTCCTAGTCCCAGTAAGTGTATCGTAACTCTTCTTTATCACTTTTATTTTGTCTTGGTTTTTTTTTTTTAGCCTGTCTGTTTCTGTAATGGTTATTAGTTCACTTCGTTTTAGGGTTCCCCCCCTTTTTTCATAATGATTTTCATCAGGAGTGGTTAGTTTTGATCTTTATCTAAGGTCTGTCTGGTACGAGGGATGGAAAAGCAGGTGCAGGACAAATTTTAATGAGTTTGGTTTAAAAATCTAAAAAAATGAGTAGAATTAAAAATTTTAATTTGGGGTAATACAAACTTTAGTTCCTCCAATTTATCTTTATTTTGGTTTTGGTCCTTCAAATTTCAAACCATAGGTTTTAGTCCCTCAAATTTTTTTTTTCATTTATAACATTTATCCCTATCATCTAATAAAAACTTTGACTATTTTGCTTTTTTAGGGACCAAAACCAAAATGAGAGCAAATTTGAAGAATCAAATGTTATATTAACCCTTTTAATTTCTTACTATTTTATTTTACATCTTATTTTTATTGAAGTTTAATAATCCCAGTTCTCCAATTATTTAAATCCAACCCATTAAAATTTTTCCTGCCTTCTTCTTCCCTCCATTTCTCTCATATCAAACATAGGATGAAGATATGTTTGGAGTCTCACTGCAAAAATGATGTGTTTGGAGCTTGGGAAGGTCAATGTTATTTTTCTTTCATAATTTGGGGGAATAGAATTCCCAACCTTGACTTTTCAACCAAAAGAGTATTAAGATTTTTAGTCAAGCAAGGAAGGCCCAAATGACTGAATTAATAACAATTAGGTTTCTGACAATTTTTCCCAAAAATGAGTTGAAACTGATTCATAAAATCTTAAATTCAAGAATCTTAATAGCAAATGAGACATTTAAATTTCAAATGTAACTCTCGATTTATAATCGAGATTTCTGTCTGCAACTATTTGAACCAATGTCTACAATTCATTTTTCAAAAACAAAATCTTAAAAACATAACTATCATTGATTCATTCTTTTGGAACTTAAAAGTCACTCTTCCTTTTTAATTTCTGACTAAAAAAAAAACTCCCTTCGAGCTGCCGTCCATAATAATGTAAAACATGTGTTTAGAAATTATTGTTAGTCCAAAATGTAGGAATTTTGTAGTTTGAAGAATTATATATGAGTGTTAGTTGTGGATAGGGAAAAACTAAAAGAATAAATTGAATTTTTATGAGGTTTAAAAAATTGAATTTTCGTAATATTTGCGATACAAAAGTGCAACTGTGAAGTAGAGGGAGTATCAAATAAGAGTTTGCCACCTGGGGCTGTGACGATGAAAAAGGGAATCTGGTAGGCAAGAAAAATATCTAATGTATATGGTTGACATTTAAATACAAAAATATATGCAAAACACTTTCATCAATAAATTTGTATAATTGTTTGATGATATCTCGAGTTCCAACCTAACGTTGACATGTTTATGCGCGTATACGCATTTAACTGTATTATATATAAAAACTTAGTTTGTAGAATTTATTATATATATTTAATTTAGTTAATTGTGGCAATTAATTGCAGTGGGAAAACTTCCAAGGAGCCACGTAAACAAGTCCCACATTAATCTCTACTTAGACCAACACAAATGCAACCGGAAACGTCTTCTTCAAAGGTTCATTGACTTGTGCCTTGCTTCCCAGGTAATGTCATCCCACATTCCTAGAAGCTTCATAATTAATTATGCTTGGTGTTCGAAGCAAGTTACGTCATTTCTGATCTTTTTAAAAAAATAATTTAAATTTCTATATTTTATTGATATATTAAGGAAGTGTTCAAATAGAAACTAAATTATGATTTTATAAAGTAAATATATGAATAAATTTGTTTTGATTTACAAAAAAGTGTTTTTAAAAAGCACTTTCAGACAAATCCAAACACTTGATATGTTTAAGTACTTTCTCCATTAAAATATAAGTTTTTAATTAAATCAAATTATGGAAAATCATGCAAGTTCCTCAATAGCATAAATGAACTTCAAATATATATATATATATATATATATATCCAATTGTTCCGAAACAGAAACAAATAAAAATTACTATGAAATTGCTTTTGTCGCGTGTGTGTGTATGGGTAAATAATACCCATTTAATTCCTTTTTAATGGGCCTAAAGCCCATATTGAGTAGGACGTGAAAAAGGCCAGGGCCTTTTCTTAGATTTCTTTGTTTGGAGGAGCCTACAGGATTGTCCCTTTCTTAGGAGTCAGGTCACATTTTTCTTAACCTTTTACATTAAAACTGAATTAAAAATATACATATATAATTCATTTAATTTATGATTCTAAATGCCAAAACTAATTTGCAAAACATACAGGTCAAGGTGGAGACAATGCTTACTGAAGGCGACAACGCGGCCGAAAGTATTGTGGATGTCATCAACAACATAGGAGTCCAAAAATTAGTCCTTGGAATTACCAAATCTAATCTCAGGTAAGGTGACTCTAATTTTTAATATAAAAGTCCTTAATATAAAATTCAATTAATTAATTTAGAAAAATAAAAAACATTATATGCTACATGAATACATGATCTTTCTAAAACAATCATATGTATTATTAGATTATATGTCAATTTATGAGTTAAAAAAACTAATTTGAAAAAGAATGATAAGTATAATTATTTTAAAGCAATTTATTTAACTTCAATAACTCCTCCAAATTACTACCTTCAGTCCTTAATATAAGGTCTTATTTGACTTTTATTTTAGTTCTAAATATAAAACCCCAGTCCACTCTGTCTCTCATATTTATGTATTTTTTTCTTCAAAATAATCCTTCTAACAATAATAGTTTTAGTCAATACACTTGATTAGTAAGGATATTTTAAGAAAGACAATGCCTGTTTGTTACAAATAACAAACTTAACTTCTTTCCTTAATCTCTTCAAATTAGTCAACTAGCTTTTATAATTAGGATCGAAGGTAGTAGTTCATAAGATCTTATACTACCTCCGGTCCTTAATATAAGACCCTGTTTGACTTTTATTTTATTCCTAAATATAAGACTCCAATCCACTTTGTCTCTCATATTTATATATATTTTTTCAAAGTAGTCTTTCTAACAATGATAGTTCTAGCAATACACTTGATTAACAAGGATATTTTAGGAAAAACGACACCTATTTAGGACAAATAACTAACTCAACTTACTTTCTTAATCTTCTTAAATTAGTCAACTGGCTCTTATAATTAGGACATGAGATAGTATTTAAGAGTGGAGATAGTATTTAATTAATTTGAATATATTAAGAAAGTCAAATAAATTAGTTAATGAATTACAACGAACCTAACATAGTCTCCCTAAGCTACCTCTAATTACCAAATCCAAATCCGATATGATCGGAAGGAGCATTTTGTAATTTCCAACGTTTCAGTTATTGGATTGATGATAGGAAAAGTGGGTCTCGCAGAAGAAAAGCAATGGCAGTTGAGGTAGTGAAGAAAGCACCTGAGAACTGTGACGTGAAGATCATATGCGAAGGAAAGGACGTGATTTATGACCTGGTTGGGGCTGCCTCGCCACGTTCCAGCGAATGTGACACTCCGCTATCTGGATCTTCACGGGAAGAAGATGAATCTCGTGGCGGTGTTCCCTTCAAGAAGATGCCCGGGCCCAGAATTTCTTCTGCATCCGGATGAATCCCACTTTAAGACCGAAAAGAAATCGTCGGTGGATCCGGGCTTTAGATTGTGGAATTAGACGCGCTAGGGATTGTCAAAAAGAAAAGTGGATGTAATTATGAACATGTAGATAAGAACGTCAAAGATGAATCTTGTGGAAAAGCGTATCAATTTTGATAGGTTGAACGGAGACACTCAAATCATTCACGGAGGATCCGTGATATACTTTGTTTGCAACGCCGGAACATCTGTGAAAGCTAAGATCCGTTTGGTAGCTTCGAAAGTAAGCCCACGACAGAGAGAAAGGAAGATGAAATCTCGCCTTTCTAGAGGCTAAGTTTCAGAGATTGCTTCGACCATCTTTCAGCGCAAAACTACTACAGAACGAAATTAATACTCCTCCGGTCCTTATTATAAGACCCAATTTGACTTTTTATTTGGTCCTAATTATAAGACCCAATCCATTTTGTCTCTTATATTTATGCATTTTTTCCCAAGATAATCCTTCTAATAATGATAGTTTTAACCAATATACTTAACTAGCAAGGATATTTTAGGAATGACAACACTTATTTATTATAAATAACCAACTTAACTTACTTCCTTAATCTCCTCAAATAAATCAATTGGGTCTTATAATTAGGACCGGAGGAGTATATATATATATATATAGAACAACATTTTTATTCTAAAAACTGCTTACGATGTCATTTTATCATTAATCCTAGTATGGATAAAATAATAGTTTATCTGTGAGTACTATGAAGAGTAGGAGTCACCGAACGTTCTGATTCCAACTCACAGTGTTCTGCGATCAATGAATGTCTACCAATAGATTACAACTCAGAACTGTACCCAGTTGAGTTTGATGGCATATAAAAATGCTTCATCTTTTTGGGGACATAGATACGGAGCTTTGAGATGACAATGGCAGTTCAAAAGGGGCATTTTCCTTTATGCTTTCACCGATGACAGAGAAGCCATGCATTAATTATATGCCATACAACTTGTGAAACAAGAAACAGCCAACAAAAGACAAAACATACAATTCCTCATCATCTGTTCTTTAAACATTGAAAAACAGTTCCTCCCCCCTTTCTTTCAACAGAAACCATTTTGCAATCATCAATATCTGTCTCTAACACTAGAAGAAATCAAACTCAAGATAATTACCAGAGCCTTTCTGATCGGCAATTGACATATGGTTGCTGGCCTTTTCGGCCGCTGATGAGGCTGGGGAAGGTATCTTCTCATACTCTACAGGCTTTGGGATCTCTGGTGGGGTGGCGCAGCGAATAAGTGCCCAATTCACACCTTCAAAAAAGGGATGTTGCTTTATCTCAGTGGCGCCTCGTTTATATGCCAACCTGTGCTGGGGTTCCTTCACAAGCAGCCCCCTTATGAGATCCCTTGCTGCAAAACTTACAACAGGTGCTTCTGGAAATCGGAGAGGCTGGCCTACAACATTAAACAATGTAGCTCGGTTCCCAGAACCCTTGAAAGGAGTCTTACCAAACAAAAGCTCATATAGAAAGATTCCAAAAGTCCACCAATCAACCGCACTCCCATGACCTTCTCCCTTGATGATCTCAGGTGCCAAATATTCATGGGTTCCAACAAATGACATGGATCGTGCATCGGTAGGCTCAGCAATGAGCTCAGGCAATGGAGTCACTTGGTTTCCAATTTCAGTTTTGGGTTTCCTATCCTTCTTTGATTTGCTAGAAAAGAGCCGAGGTGAGAAGCATGTTGTAGGAGCAACGCAGGATGGCTGGATGCAGGAAGGCGGTTCAATACACGCAGGTTGCACACAATATACAGGATTCTTCCTTAAAGGATCAGATTCCATGACTGAACTTTTAACAAGAGTGGGACTAACGGCACAACGGAGGGAAAGGTCAAAGTCTGAGAGCATAATGTGCCCATCATCCCTAACAAGGACATTTTCTGGCTTGAGATCACGGTAGACAATGCCAAGCATGTGGAGGTACTCCAACGCCAGCAGCACCTCTGCCACGTAAAATCTGCAATTCAACAATAACATAGAAGCTGTTACCATCAAATCAAATCCAAACCATGATCTCACTAGGCAATATTATATCTAGACTAGGAGCATGAGTGCTTGCATCTCTAGCAAGCAGACATCATCAGACTTCAGAAAGGTGAAGAAGTTTGGGCATGCTCAAATGCCAAAAGCCAAGTCAAAACCAAATACAGAATAAGGTCCATGATGGCTTTTCCTGGGGAAAAAGCAGAGCATGAGACCCATGTGTGATCCCTTAATTCTGGTTTGCTTGACCTATAGACAAGTATATTTAAAATCCACATTCCACAGGTATTCTGAGATAGATGAACCACAAATGCATGACCAGACTACTTTCCTAATCACATAATGTAATACAAATAACATGCAGCAGCAATTGTCATGGTTGAAAACTTTTACAATGTTTGACTTTCAAAACCAAATATGTATAACATCCTCTGACGATCAATGAATTACGGATACCCACCAAGATATACAGCATAATTATATTATAAAGTTGATACAACATCTGGGACTTGTTGCATTTACTTTTTCTTATTTCAAAAAATATAAAATCTTCAAGTCTAAGAACTTTGCATGCCTCAATGAAAGAGAAGAAGTGAACTAAGAGCTTTACAAACATAGAGTAGAATAAAGCACTTTCATAAGGCGGGAATTAACCACAGGTGTTAGATTGTTAGAAGTAAACCAAGGGAACAATTTAGAAAATTCAGGTCATCAATTTATACGTAATAATCAAATGAATTATCACTTGAATTAATGAAAAAAGAAAAGGGAGTTCTGACTTAAACATACTTTACTGCTTGCTCAGGAAAATGCTTCCCTGGCTGCCTCTGCCTGAGAGTGTGCAGGTCTCCACCTGGGCAGAATTCCATTACCAAGCATGAGAACTTCTCTGTCTCAAAATGGGTATACAATGTCGGGAGAAAAGGATGATCAAGTGATTGCAGTATTTCTCTTTCTGTCTGAGCACGAAGCAGCTTTTTACGACTAGCTAAAGACCCTTTATCCATTACCTTCATTGCGAAATAACATTTAGTTCCACTCAGTTCTGAGAGATAAACGCTCCCAATATCCCCACAACCCAACCTCTTCAGTAGTCTAAAGTGAGCTAAGCCCAAAACTCCATCTTTAGCTCGGACGGCTTGAATAGCTTCCCATCTCAAGTCATTTGCCTTGTGAGGCTTGTTGACACTGCTACTAAAGCTGCTGCAAGTGCTCTCATCACTCACATCACTGCTTGTACTTCCTCTGCAAATGCTACTCTTGCCACTCTCAACAAGATCAACTCGATCACTAATCTTGGCACTTCCACTGGTCTTTGCCAGGCTGCTGGCCCCATCACTAACTTTAGCAGAAACAGAACTACTCTTCACACTTCCATATTCTGATGTTTTCTTTTCTTGGTCAATAGAGCTTTCCTGCAAACCTCTATTCCCATTAACAACATGGTCAACTCCTCCAGATAGTTGTTCACTAACAGATAAGGAAACAGAAGAACCAAATTTACTAATCAAGGAATCAGCAGACTCCTTTGGGTTTGAACTCCCTAGCTTCTTCTTTTCAGAAGCGTCTCCAGTGTACTGCTTCAACGAGTCCTGAACATATTTTGATAAATCTTCTGGCGCAGCCAGTTCAGATTTCCCAGTCTTTGAAGATTTGATGTCTTTTGCCTCTATTGTTTGAATCCCAGCCGTCTTATGATGATGTTTCTGGGCAGCTCTAGCACTAGTTTTTGAGTCCATCAGATATGATAAACAGTCTTAAATCAGATCAAACCAACCAAATCTGTGACCGGCCATCCGTCTCCATTAGCATTGTATCTTCCATCAGTAATCCCGATCACCTGCAATTTCTTCAATGATAAGAAACAATATATAAAAGGAATCATGAAAAAATTGTCAGTCGTTGACTGCAGTATGATGCAATAGGCTTAGCATTAACATCAGAGCAGAGGGTGATCTACCAATCTATTAATGAAGAGACAAAACCTATGCCACAATGGACTTGTCACATAACAACTCACACTTAAGATGGGATAGCAACAGATCCAGTAAGCAGTGATAGAATATCGCCCACTTCGTGAATCACGTAGATATCATATAATAGCTAAACCACAAGAAGATAATCAAACAAATTCAACGTCAGATTTACCAAGAGAAAATCCAAAAGCAAAATATTATAGCAGCTAACCCCAATAGGTAAATCAAGTGACTTTCATTTCCAGAAAGAAGGGGAGAAGAAAATAAAGCTGCGAAGCTGCATGTACTCCATGCCCAGATTAGTAAAGCTCAGAAGTGAGAAGCAACTAACAAAGACACCTCGGTTCTCATCTTCCCAACACCATCCCCCGAAAAGATAAAGTAGTGAAATTGAAAGGAAAAAGAAAAATTACAGAAAACGAATGAAAAGGGGAGGACTAGGAGGACCAACAAAAAGCAAGATAGGTGTCAATCAAATTAGGGCCCCAACACGAAAAATGCAGATTTTGGACAGATTTTAACCTATTCAGACAGATAAAATAATCGTGACAAGCCAAACGAAAATGATCAAGACTAATTAAACGAAACCTGGATCTTGATCATAGAACCTTGATTTCGAGTGAAATTTGCGGTAGATTCAAGGGAAGATGGAGACCCCGGTGCAAAAAGCAAAAATTGAAGGGAAAGGGATGCAACCCACATGAAGAGAAATGAGAGCCACCAAAAGGAAAGTAGGATAAGCCCAAAAGAGTACCTTATTTCGAGGATCAGAACTCCCTCAGCGTCGTTGCTTTAGCAGTGATGAAAAGGGGCGAAAATAATGTAGAAAAGAGAACTCCGGGAGCTTAGAGAGAGAGAAACATAGAGGAATGGAAGCTATGGAGAGTCATGAAACTAGACTGGGCCGGTGTACTATTACTCCATTAGGCGGGGCGAGGGGGAGAGAGAAAGAGATAGAGAGAGAGTATGAGGTCAAAGGTAAAGCAAAGCTTTTTCTTGGTTCAATTATTTCATTGGGTTTTTGTCCTGAAACAAGCGGGGTCCAAATCACAAAACAGTTCTCTGTTCTTCTGAGGTCTTGCCCCTGTCTGTCATGCCTGTGCCCAAATAATTCTTCATCTCTCTACTTTTTTTTTATTTTTTAATGTTTTCTTTTGGTTTGTGTTCTCCAATTTTTTTAATCAGTAACATGACAATTATGCCCTTTCTATTTTAATAATAGTTAATAGATTTTGTGGGTTA